GGTGGATTTTTTCATTGTTTGGAGCAAAATTTTTCTTGTTGAAAGCTTCGACTCTTTGAATAAGCTTAAAGGACTGGAAAATTTAGACTGTGATGTACGTTTATGCTATGAGGAAAATAAAAAATTATACTGAGGAACAAAGAAGTGTAATAGCAGCTGCAATAAATGAGATTATTTTCTTGTTCCGATGGACGTCGTTTCGGGGGCCAAGGGGACAGTGCCCTTCTCCCTAGAAATTCGGTAATAGCTAAACTAAAGGTACAACGCTAGATACAGAACTATCCGCCATCTTGATTTTTTAAATCCGACCTCGGATTCGTGATCAGCAACCTCGAAAACCTCCGTATACAAAATTTGGTGACAATCAGTCACCTTTCAAAAATTTCATCGGCCATCTTGATTTCACCGCCATTTAGAAATTTTTGAAATGGTCAAGGTCATATCTGAACGTAAAATTTTCCGCTCTTTCCATTTCCGGGGTCAAAAAGGGGGTTCCCTTTTAACAAAATCGTCTTGACCCCATAATGACCACGTGGTCAGTGGTCATAGCATGGTCACCATTGAATAGCCAGGGAAAAATCCTAACTTTCCCTATATTTGGTTTTTCCCGAAAATGAATATCTCGCGAGATTTTTTGGGGTTCCCACACTTTTACGCCACCCTGTATATAAAAAAATAGTTAGTTACTTTAAAATAAATATATTTTTAAATAGAACACTTTTATTTTTGACGAATCAAAAATCGATTAGGTACAGAGGCCTATCACATGACGTGATACAAATTAGACAGAAGGTTAATTTTGAACACAACAATGACATGTAAGTAATTAAACCGAACATTTTTTAAATTGATAATTAAAAAAATTAAAATTAAAATGTATCGCGATAGTTGAACTAGAAACCATAAACAGTTGGTGACATATTTATCATTTTATCGAAATTGGGGCTATACGATGTTTGTATAGCCAAATGGGTATTTGACTGCATTGTAAATAAGTTGTATAGTCCAGCAAAATTAGACGAAAATAGGGCCGAACCTCGGAATTGCATAAAGAAGGTTCGATTTTGATGGGACAAAGTGCGTTCTCTTTATAATTGCATGTACATCAAAGTCTACAACGTCTCATGCGACGCTAATTTGTTTATTTATAAATAATCAATTATTATTAACAAATAATCGTATTTCGGATATTACGTGGGGTGGAAACGGCCAATCTTGATGCGGTAAAGCTCATTCTTCTTCTTATTAGTTGTACTTTAACTGTAAAGGATCCCCACCGATCTTCATTTGTTTATCGGTTTTTATTTGATTGTTATAAACAAATTAGACGTGATATCTGCGGTCGGGAGTAGGACTAGCCAATTTGGACGGGATGAACGTGGTTTTATATAGAAAGTTCAAGACCCTAATGCAGGAAGTGAATTCTCAAAAAGCTGAAGACCATATAGAACATGAATCATTATGAATAAATGTTATCCACTTCTCTTTGATTAAAAATTATCCATTCTAAGTCTTAGTTACAGATTGCACGTGTAATTTTTTTATAATGATTAATTAGTAAAAAGAAACAAATGAAGATCATTCGGACCTTAACGGTTTTGGAATATCCCGGATGATGATCAAAGTGACTTATTCCATAAAAATCAGACTTTTCTCGTCCAGCTCACAGATAACAGCCCGAATTTGTATATACTAATTCATTGAAGATCAATGAACAAATGAAAATCAGTCTGCCCTTAGTGGCCCTTAGTGGTTCTGGATCACCTTGTAATCCAAGTACGAGAAGAGCGTCGATTACCGCGTGAAAATCCCCCTCTCCCAGTCCGATTACCTAATTTGCTCTTAATGATCGAATAAAAATCAATAAACAAATGAAGATCGGTGGGAGTCTCCCAAAGTTAAGGTACAACTAATCAGAAGAAGAATGGGCTCTACCGCATCAAAATTGGCCTTTTCCAATCCACGTAATATCCGAAATACGCTAATTTGTTAATAATAATTGATTATTAATAAATAAACAAATTAGCGCCGCATGAGATATTGTAGACTTTGACCTACATGCAATTACGAAGAGAACGCACTTTGTCTCATCAAAATCGAACCTTCTTTATCCAATTCCGAGGTGAAATGCTAATTTTCCTGGATTAGTAAAGTATATTGAAATTTCTTGAGTAAATCACTGAGTTTAATGGGCACATCCATATAATTCACATAAGACCTTTTACTTTGCAAACAGAAAAAAGGTCTATTACATGGCGACGTTTTACAATGTTTTACAATAGGGTTGTTGACCAATTTTCAAAAAGTGGATAATATAATTCTACACGTACTAACATTTTTTATAACATTTCAAAATGGCTGTGACGTCATAAGGGGGCACCTTGTAGTGAAATTATGTGTAAATAATTGCGTAAAGGAAAAAAATTGGAAGAAGACGCTCTGTCAACGCTGTAAGTAGTGTCAGTCTGTCAGTGACACTGTCGTATAAAATATTTTCAAGTCTATGAGTTATTTTCCTTAATCTCCAAATTCCTTTATTAAGTAAAATTATTATTTAGTAATAATCATTTAATAGCTTCCCTTATAATTAAAGCAGAATGTGTGAATCGGGATTTGAGAAAGCTACTTCGCAAATTTGACCGAAAATTGATATTTTTATGATCATGAATTGAATTTTTAAAAAGAGACGACCGTTTTAATATTGGCGAAATCAGAGGTATAAAAGCAGTCAGGTAAGGATTAACATATTTAATGAATGATTTTATTGTGTTTATT